AGGACCAGCAGCAGCAAAGGCAGGAGGGCCCCTTCCCCAGCCTGGCCAAGGTGCTGCAGAGCCGCTTTGCCGTGCCCTCCCCACCCTGTCGCCGGGGCCAGGGGGTCCTGGGCCTGCTGGTGAGAGCTGTGGCAGCCTGCTAGCTGGCCTGGCCCTGCCGTTCGTCGCCTGGGCTGGCTCCTGACCCCGGGACCCACCGGCAGAGAGAGAGACACACGGAGCCAGGGTTGCCGAAGGACTCCGCCCCAGTGCCAGGGGGTGACCAGGCCCCACCGAGGCATCCAAATGGCGAGAAATGCTGCCCTGGACTGATGCCCTTTTCCCAGGGCATGGGCAGCACCTGCCTGCCTTCAGCTCTGCTTTGTCTGTGTCAGGCAGGGAAGGGTAAATCTGGAAGGGGGCCAACTGTGGGGTTGGATGTCCCCCTTGGAGGCCTTGTGCGTGTTTCAGGGCTGGGTGTGTCTGTGTGCAAGTGTGGGGGGTGCAGACCAGGGCCAAAGGATGACACACAGTTCTTATGACCGGTGTTGCGTCACCCAGCAGGGAGTTTCCTGCCCCCCCATCCCCTGGGCGTGGGAGGCCAAGCCTGACTCACCGGCTGCGCCAGGGGAGGAGGAAAGGGTGCCAAAGTCCCCTGGACTTGGTGGGGGGTGGGGTGGGGGGGGATGGTCTCGGTGTGTGTGTGTGTGTGTGTGTGTGTGTGCGCGCGCGCACGTGTGCATGTGTGTGTGACCTGCAACTCTGCAGGGGGCTGGGAAGAAATGGTTGCTGGATGCCAGGCTGGGGGGGCTGAGGTCAAGGTGAAGGACTGAGGCCTGCTGGGACATGGTGGGGCAGTGGGAGGTGGATAGCTACAACCTGGCACCCACCCCGCCAGGGCTGGAGGCAGCGTGCAAGGGGGTGTTCGCAGGAGCTGGGCTGCGCCCTTTGTTCCCTGCCAGACACAGCCGGTCCAACCGGACAGGGCTGGGTGTGATGGCGTCAGGCTGGCGCACCGCCCCCAGGGCCCAGCTGCTGGGTGTGTATGCACGCTCACACCCACACGCAGAGGACCCAGGCATCCGGGGGATGTGCACATGCTCCCAGTTGCTGGGTGTGTACACGTGCATGCTCGCTCTCTCTCTCACACACACACATGCACTCACACATGCTCTCTCTTTCTCCAAGCTTCTGGGTGTCCACACCCACCCACCCACAATTGCTAGGTGTACCCAGGCGCACACGTGTGGGGTCTTAAGGCCACCTACAGCCCAGCTGCTGGGACCCCCCCACACCCATGCTTAGGCTCGCCTGTGCTTGTGGAGTCTGTTTGTCTGTCTGTCTGGACACTTGTGTGTGGAGGGGTGTGTTCTGTTACGGGGAGCCCCAGCAGTCCCCTCCCTGCTGGCAGGGAGGCCCTGGTGAGGCAGGGGCTGGAGCAGGGGTCCTGCCCTCCCACCCCCTTCCACATGCGGTGTAATTTATACCTGGGAAATCACGGGGTTTTTTAT